GGAGCCCGATGCGGGACTCGATCCAGGGACTCCAGGATCATGACCTGAGCCGAAGGCAGTCGCTTAACCAACTGAGCCACCCAGGCGCCCAAACCTCAGGGAATATTAACATTCCAAGAGAAGGCAAAAAAAGAAGTCTGAGAGTGTCTGTGGAGTCTTAAGGGAATATTAGGTAGAGTTCCATCAGAAGAGTTTTAGATGCCATAGGAAGAGTGAGGACTGCAATTAGGAGTTTTTATTTTTATTTATTTTATTTTATTTTTAAAAAGATTTTATTTATTTATTTGACAGAGAGCACAAGAGAGAGGGAGCGAGCACAAGCAGGGGGAACGGCAGGCAGAGGGAGAGGGAGAAGCAGGTTCCCAGCCAAGCAGGAAGTCTGACTCAGAGCTTGATCCCACGAACCTGGGGATCATGACCTGAGCCAAAGGCAGATGCTCAACCGACTGGGCCACCCAGGTGCCCGCAATTAGGAATTTTTAGGTCAGCAAATTCAGGAGAGTTGGGGATGAGATATAGTGTTGGAGGAGGAACAGAATAGATGAGTAGTTAAAAGTGTGAAGGCCCCGTGTGTATTTTCCCAAAAAAGAAATAATTAAGGGGGAAAAATTAGCCAAGTCACTGGAGTTATTTATAGAAATTGTGCATGTTGCATCCAGTGAATTTATTATGATATCCTTGAACTTTGTATATTCTCTTCCAATAATAATAGGGCCCAACAAGTATGATGGCCTACTTGATTGTTTCTGGGCTACTCCTAACTCGACTTAGAAGACCCATTGGTAAAATGACAATAACTGAGCAAAAGTATGAGGGAGAGTATAGATTCGTTAATTCCCGGCTCATCACAAACAGGTAAGAAGAAATGTATTAAATTTGGCTGTACTAAAAATTTGTTTTTATGGACATTGATGTCATATAAGTTAACTCCAAAAAGTCTGGAAGGCATTGTTACCAAAATTGTGTGTGTGTGTGTATTTACCTCTTTTGAATAATACATTATGAAAAATACCAGTTTTATAAAGTAGTAATCTTCAGCATTTCTCTTTTTCTTAACTGTGTAGTATCCCTGGTTCACCTCTTCATCTCTTTTATTGACTAATTTTCTGTTAATTTCACTTTAAACACACTCAAAATACAATTCAAATTCAAGTTTACTTATAATACTTCTTCAAAGAAAATTCTGTCGGGGTGTGCCTGGATGGCTCAGTCGTTGACCGTCTGCCTTCGGCTCAGGTCATGATCCCAGGATCCTGGGATCGAGTCCCGCATCGGGCTCCCTGCTCTGTGGGAAGCCTGCTTCTCCCTCTCCCACTCCCCCTGCTTGTGTTGCCTCTCTCTCTGTGTCTCTGTCAGATAAAATAAAAAAAGAAAATTCTGTCTCAGTTTATCCACAAATACTTTTGAGACTGTGTATGCTCAGTAATTCAGTCTCACTGCATGTGTGTCTACCTATTTTCCAGATAGTTTCCAAAATGGGAAGAAAAAGTAGTAGGCTTTGGAGCCAGCCTGACTAGTTTCAAAATCTGCCTCCTCCACTTATCAATTATATATTATATGACTTCTGGCAAGTTATAGCTTTACTTTTCTTATTTATAATAGAGAATATAGGACTATTGTAAGGATTAAATATGGAATACATACAAAGCTTCCAGCACAGGTTTTGATATGTAGTAGGTACTCAGTAAATTTTCTCATGTATTGATCTGTAAACTTTAAGTCATTTTGAGGGTCCTAATCTTTATTTAGTACCCTAAAGCATTTACAAAATTACTTAGAGGATTACTCTTTTTTTTTTTTTTCTGTTTATGACATTTTTTTGTTTGTTTGTTTTAATTTTTTTTATTCTTATGTTAATCCCCATACATTACATCATTAGTTTTAGATGAAGTGTTCCATGATTCATTGTTTGTGCATAACACCC